AAGGTGATCAACATCATTCTTTATTAGGAAAATGCAAATTATAAATATGTGATACATTACACACCTGTTAAAATGGCTAAAAATATAAAGACTGAGAAGACCAATAGGATTACAATATGATGAATTGGAAGTCTATTCTGTTGACAGGAATAGAAAATAGCATGCCCACTTTGCAAATTTCTTTTAAAGTTTAAGAGAATTTACCATATGATCCACAATTCTATTCCTAGGTGTTTCGTCAAGAGAAATGAAAATGCATGTCCACATAAATATTTGAGCCTGAATATTCATAGAAGATTTATTTATAAAATAGCCCCAATATGGAGACAATCTAAATGTCCATCAGCATATGAGTAAAAAAGCAAGTGATGGTTCATTCACGTACTGGAATACTACAGCAATAAAATGAAATAAACTTCTGATATGTGTAACAACATGGCTGAATCTCAGAAACATTTTCCTCAGTTACATAAGCCAGACAAAAATGTACATAGTTTTGATTCCATGTATTTGAGATTCCACAAAATAAGGTTGCCTGGGTTTGCAGAAGGGAGTAGATTGATTCCAAAGGAGCTCAAGAGAACTTTGGGGTGTGATAGAATCTGTCTCTTTAGTGATGGTTATACCATATATACATTTGTCAAAACTCATCAAATTCTACATTTTAAATGGGTAAGGTTTTATTGTAAATAAATGATATCTCAATAAACTTAATAAAAATAATATCCAGCGAGGTGTAGCCAAGGCTTCTTTGGTGTGGCTTTTTCCAATCTAAACATCTGTGAACTAAAGGAGTAAGTTACTCTGCCCGCCCCCCTCCCCTCCCTCCCCCGCCCCATCCACCCATATAGGCAACACAGGTGAGAGAGGAACTGGACCTTCACGTAGAAAACTGAAAGTGCAACACATATACAATGACAGTTCTACAGCATTCTGAAATCTAGCCAGACATCCTATCTGTTGCCTGTTCCTTTTTTAAAAAAATTATTTGGTTTCTTTAACAATATACTTTTATTGATTTCAGAGAGGAAGGGAGAGGGAGAGAGAGAGAGAAACATCAATGATGAGAAAACCATTGATCGGCTGCCTCCTACATGCTCCCTACTGGGGATTGAGCCCACAACCCGGGTATGTGCCCTGACTGGGAATCTAACCATGACCTCCTGGTTCATAGGCCGATGCTCAACCACTGAGCCATGCCACCTATGTCTTGATTAGGGCTTAGTGCTTCTTCCTGGGTTTGTTCTTCATGGCCTGGGCTTTTCCCTCTGAATTACCTTTCTTTTACCATAAGAAGTGATTTGTTTTAAGCCTAGTAGTTTTCTTAGCCTGCTTCCCATTTGTAGAATTTGGGGACTCAGAAGCCTCTTTTCATTCTGAATGTTCTGTCCCTTTCACATGAAGCCATTCTGACCCCTTGTTTTGGGGGCTGCGTTTATGTTCTTTGCCTTTCTGGGGCATATAGCTTCTTATAAGTCATAATTTTCAAATCACCACCTGCACTGGTCTTTAGCTTCCTCTCAGAGCAAGGAACTCCATCCCTGCCTCTGGTTTCCTGGTGAGTTTGACTTTATTCCTCTACTTTGAGGAACTTTGATTCCCTCCTACTCCTCTGCAGTCACACTTCCTGCTGCCTCTGGTTGTTTCTGGAACCAAGGCCTGGCAGACCTTCAGTTTCCATCCTTCTCACGGCATTGCATTTTTGTTCTTGCTCACAGTGGTGTCATGGGTTATTTTTTAGGCTCTTCTCTGGCGCGGTCTTAACTGCCACTGTCACTACTGTATCTTTAACTCTTACTCTCCAAATTTCTGTCTTACTTGCTCCTTCTGGAATTCATGTTATTTCGACATTGGAGATTTTGAATGTATCTTCCTTATCTCTTGCATTTGCTCTTATTATTATTATTATATTCATCCCTTTATTTTCTCCTTTGTGTTCTTAGGGTACTTTTTGAACTAGTTCAATTTGCTGATTTGATTTTATGCTATATTTAGTCAGCTGTTCTTCCATTATGGTTTTACAATTTGATAATCATGTTTTTCATTTGTAAGCACATTTTTATGATCACAGATTGTTCATTTCCTTTCTACAGCTGAAATGTTCACCTGAATCACAGTCAGAGCACAGATCACAAATACATTTTATAAGTTTCTCCCTTTAAAAATACATTTTCTTTTGTAGGAGGACAAAAGAAATGTGATTGCTCTTTCTTTAGGTTTTTAAATCTTATATGTGTCATTGGTTATCTCTTTCTCCTTGTAGGGACCAAGTCTCTGTTCCTCGAGTATTTGGAACAACAGAGGTGCTGAGCAAATGTTTCTGAATTCCTGTTGAAATATTTTAGCATTCGGGAAAAGTGAAAGGAAAAAATGGCTATTTCCTATACCCAATTTGCTATTACGAGGAGTGAAAAGGCATTTGATGTCAGGGCTTCTTATAATGTGCTGGAGCTTTTCTGGCTGTTACTTTGGGCGCCCTCAGGTTAATCAAGCCATAGTTCCTCTTTTCTAATTGGCCGAGTACCATAATCATGAGCTCGCTGTCATCACGCCCCCTGTACTAATTGTAGGCTGTCTTCATGAGCACCATGGCTTGCTAGTGTGTTACCCTTCAGAAGAAGGTTTATAGAGTTGAGCTTTGCCTTCTATCCTCTGTCTCACTGTTCACCTTGACCTCCAGCCCCATCTCTGTGATTCTGAGCTACCTTTGTACCTACTTACAGTTTCAGTTAATTGTGTTACCAGCTTGAATCAGTCCCAGAAATGAAATATCTAGGCCTAATGTCCTAAGTGTCTTGTGCCAGCCAGATTTAGGTGCTGATACTGACCTTCCTCTTTTCCTTGGTTCAGCTGCCTTCACCTGGAGCTGGCTCAGGAAGCCTCTGCTCCATTTGGCCTGTGTTGGCACGTGTTCTGGGGCAATAGAATGCATTTGTTTTTGGACGTGTTGAAATGGAGGTGGGGCTATTTAACTTGTATTTGTAATGGGGTTGGAGGCAGAGAGAGCTATTGGGATGAATATGTGAATTTGGTAATCCAAACTTCTTACTGTTTAAAAAACTAATAGCATATTGAATTGTCCAGGGAAAGCATGTAAAAGGGAAGTAGGTAAGACTAGGCACAGGCACCTGGGATTTTAGCTGGTATGGGATGTAGGGAGTGGAAGCTAGTGAAGGTTTCTATGAAGATTTCCCAAGGAGAGAACCAGGGAAGAATGGTTCTGTGGAGCCAATGAACATGGCAGCTTTAAAACACTGTCCCTCATGCCTTGGTGAGATTAACTAGGGAGGATGAGGACGTTAATGCCTCATTTGCTTGAGCAACTAGGAGATCGTTGATGACTTTACATACAGCACTTTCAGGGTGAGTGGAAGGCAAATTGCTGATGGAAGAGTAAATGGTCAGGGCATGGGCCCAATAACTTATTTTGAAAATTTATTGTGATGAGAAAGAGGAAGATTGGTACAGAGGATGCTACAAGTGAGGTAGAAGGCTGTGTTGTTTTATGTATGCACCCTGTGTAATAAACCAATAAATGTTTCAGTTCTTCTTTTTATTAATATTTTCTATGAGAAGAATTACTTTTAATATTTAAGCATTTTTCAATTTTTAAGTATAGCTCCTTTTTATGACTGTTTAATCTATTCTTAAAGAAGAACAGGCCACTGCTTAGTTTAATATATCAGGCTGCCTCTTCCCACACTGAGTATTAAATGCTTCTATCAGCTCTAGCACATTGGCTTATGAGATTATTTTCAAAATATTTATCTACTTTTTTTCATTTATTTTTAACTATTTAGCTATGTGGGATATTGAGTAGGGGTAGACAAAACGGATAGCTCTTTTGAAAATAGCTTTCCCAGATATTCTAAATTATTTTGTAACTAGTCTAAGGAATGTTATTCTATTAGAGTTACTACCAAAAAACACATTCAGTGTAGTCTTGAGTTACTATTTTATCTTTTTGGAATACTTAGTACAGCTCACTGTTTGTGAAGGAAATCCTGACATGGCTTGTGGTTGAAAGTTAGTGACTTTAATTCATTATATAATGGTTAGTTTCCATTTCACAAATATTGAAGCAGCTATTCAGAGAACAGATATTTGTAGTCATGGAACTTTCATTGAAGCAATGTGAATAAACATGTAGAGTAGAATACCAGGCCAGGGTAGAATATTGAGAATGGTATTTTTATATTGTGTTTTACATTGGAGAAAAGTCTTTTTGTTCAAGTTTTTTTCCTACACATGTTGTACTTATCATATTTTACCTGAATTAACATGGTGCACTTAAATTTAATTATTATTATTATTATTGATTTTTAGAGATGGAGGGAGGGAGGGAGAGAAAGAGTCGGGGGGGAGGGAGAGGGAGAGAAAGATCGATGGGCTGCCTCCACACGAAACCCTGGCATGTGCCCTGATTAGGAATTGAACCAGTAACCTTTTGGTGCACAGGATGATGCCCTCCCAACTGAGCCACATTGGCCAGGGCGACATGGTGCATGTTTACATTGAAGACTTCGATTTATCTGTGGTTTCTGACAAGGTTCCAAATTAATTCAGACTTTCAGACATAAAAGTTTCGTTATTTTATATATTTTTAGGTTTCATCTTCATATGGAACATGAATTCCACAAAACTTGCTAACCTTTTAAAATAATTATCTAAGAATATATGCTTTATTTTTTTCTCTTCCTACATTTAGGGTAAGGTGAATGGAGGAGAACATTTTAAATGCATGTAGTTACTATATTCCTACTTAAAGATCGCATTTGTTTGTAAGCAAGTATGTGGCTTTTAGGTGACATCTTATTTATAGTTTAAATGAAATGTGAGAAATATAAGTTATTTGGATTTTTTTTCTTTGCTACTGAAACATCATTGTTGATATAAATAATCATCTCATCCCAAGAAAACTTGGTAAGCTTAGATTTGAAAATTCCCATGTCCTCCGAATACCCCCAATTCTGATTGTTACTATGTTTGTCTGTCCATAGGGAACAGTACACTGCGAAACTCCAAAGGACGTCACATTCTAGGAGTCCAACCTACAGAGAAGACGGACAACATGTTACCCAAAAGAGTTGTGTAAGATCAGATTCTACTTCTGTTTGTTTGTTGCTTTAACTCAACAAACTTTTAGTTTCATATTATCAAAGTTCCAACGATGACTTAGAAACAGCAAATAAGTACTGAAGTTTTGGTGAGCATCCTGATGTCAAAGAAATGGTGTATTTGGAATATTCCACACTGTTCCTCCTGCTTTCTCAGTAATTCTAAGGCATCATGTTAATCAGTCTATTGTTTTTCTTGTGTATCAAAGAATAGCTTTGGAAAGCTATTCATTTTTTAGATATATTTTTACTTCTTTTTTCAGTGTATGTATAAAAATAATGAAACAGTTCTCATAAACTTAAGAAATTGGGATTAACTTGTAGTGAAATAGAAGACACTGCCTTTCTGATGAAGTGAACTGTTTATATCTTGACCGATGAATTCCTCTCTTGCATCTAATTGCCATAGATGCAATCAGTTGCATAAATAACATATATTTAGTTTGAACAAGGTACCAATGAGCATTGCAGGTAGCTGTGTGAAGGGAAGGACTTTGCCTGCCTACTAGGGTCTCTGTGTAACTCTGGCTTGTCTTGGGTTGCAAGACTTTTAGTTCCAAGAATATCCCGAGTGATGCCTGACTGTTTTAGCACATATTGCTCTGAATATAACTCCTTGCATTTTCTCCAGTGGTAATTTGGAACTTTCAAAAATATTTTAATATAAAGGGGAGCACATTTTAAATATTTGTGGGTTTATTATCAAGCATTATATTTACTCAAAATAAAGCAGGTACATTTTCTTAAGACATTCTTATTCATAAAAATAAAAAGGGGACCAATGATAGAAGCAATAATAAATTTTAATATAATATATAACAAACAACTTTTTGTTTTCATCACTTCAGATGACTTAAATGACCATAGGTAAATAGGTTTATTTGTATTAATGAGGGTTTATGAAAGCATGAAAATACAGTATCAACAAATTTAATTTCAAAATAAATTTTTTTTGACTGTATTATAGAATATACACTGTTATTTTACACAGATGAACCTTTCTAAGTTTTTAGCGCTTTCAGATCATTGTTCATTTTTGGCACTAATATTAGGCTGTTCTCAGTTAATTATAATTTCAATCTGGTTTGATAAATATGTAATTTAATAAATTACATGGGAGGTGAAAAAAAGCATGGAATTCTAGTTTTTTGAAAAAGTAAAGAATCACCGTAATTGTGTTTTTGTGATGTGAATTCAAAGCCTATTTCTCTTTATATTCAGAGTATGAATGAGAATTAATTTAAGAACAAAGAGCTTCTTGGACATCAGCACAAACTTTCCTGTTAACTAATTTTAACGAGAGTAAATAATTCATCTTTTCAAGTGTCTCTCCATCCCCCTTTAAAGCTACTGTGGTATACCACAATTAAAACTTTCTGTAAAAGAACTTAAAGAGAAGAGTCTGGATTAATTTTTAAAATATTCTTTTGATGGTTTTTTTGAAATCTAGTTACTGTGTGAATATATTGTGAAGGCATCTCATAGCCCTAAGCAGATGTAATAAACAGTCATTACTTAGAACTGAAAACCAGCTCAATTGTAACATAACCCTTTCCTCTGAGGCAATATAGCACTACCAGAAAAGCTCACAAAGTTCTCAGTGCTCTGAATGGCACATTTTGTCCGTCTTCCTCCTCCCTTTTCCCTGCTCTCCCTCCCTTATTTACCTTCTTCCTTTTCCCTTTTATTTCTTCCCTCCTTCCCTCTTTCCTTCATCCCTTCTTTTTCTCTTTTGTATTTCAGGAAGTTCAATTGAAAAAATCTGCTGTTTCTTTGGATGACAGCGACATTGAAGCTCGCCTTAATAGTTGGAATCTTGGGGTAAAACAAGTATTTGTTTTATGTATGTATATTCATGTGGCGGAATCATAGTATTTGAAAAAAACATCTGAACTAATTTAATTCTATTCAGTGACTAGTATTGTATGTTAGATGTCAAGTACTATGTTAACACTGAGAAGGACTGTGAGTGCAGGAAAGAGAAATAACATTCCAAACAAGCATCACATAGTCTGCCCCTGACCAGCTGCCTTTTTTGTTGGAGAAATGAGACATACACATAAATAGTAAAATAATAATTTAAGATAGTAAATGATAAAATACCAAAATGAGTTAGATAGAAGAATATTGAGGTGGAGGGGAGGGAAGGGAGGTGTTGGAGAAGCAAGGGTATTTGGGTTGAAAAAAAAATGTCAGGGAGACTTCATTGGATGAGCCGCCATCATGAACAGCAGTTTTCAGATCCAAAGGCTGGGAGCATGAATGTACTTGGATGGGTGGGGAGGACAGAGCATGAAGAACAAGTGCTGGGTAAGTGATCTGTCATGACTAGATCCTAGGGTGTGTGTGGAGGTTGGGGAGCAACGTTAGCAGCTGGATTGCATGGGAGTTCTGAATGCTAAATTGAGAAGTTTAGCATTTATGTTTAAGGCAATAGTAAGCCCAGGAGGTTTATTTTATTTTTAAAATAATTTTTATTGATTTCAGAGAGGAAGAGAGAAAGAGATAGAAACATCAATGATAAGAGAGAATCATCAATCGGCTGCCTCCTGCTGGGATTGAGCCTGCAATCTGAGCATGTGCCCTGACAGGGAATTGAACCCTGACCTCCTGGTTTATTGGTCAGTGCTCAACCACTGAGCCACACTGGCAGGAGGTTTATTTCTACCCCACCCCCTTACATTCCATTTTACATTTATGCTGTTAAAATGCTTTGAGGAAATAAAAAGGAGTTTAAAACAATTTTTTCCATGCTTGGTTACTATAAAAATAATTTGTAATTTGAACATTTGAAAAATACAGAAAATGAGAGGAGTAAACTGTTTTAAAATCATAATACTAAGAGATGTAACATTTGTTTTATGTATATATCCTTTATTCTGTGTGTTTATAAAATTAAAATTTCAACAAAATTGCGGTTATATTTAAATACTATTTTATTATGTGCTATTTTAAATTTGGTTTAAGTTTATAATAGTTCTGTAAACATGAATCTTAATGGTAGCACTAATTTTTCTTTTGGATGGATATTCCATAACTTATTTAAGCACTCAATTATTTTTGGACATTCAGGTTGCTCCCTGTTTGTTGCTAATATAAGTAATACTGCACTAAAATTACTTACAAGAGTCATTTTGTACATATTCAGTTGCTTTCTTAGGTCCAGAAGGGGTACACCAATTTATTTTCCAACGAGCAGTGTATGGGATTTTCTATTTCTCTCATTTCTTACTGACATTAGGGATTATTATTTTTTAAAAACCCAAACCCTTCTTTCTAATAATGGGCTTAATGTGCTTTAGGAAAATCAACTAGGTGGCATTATGAAGGTTATGGTGGATGTGAGTAGAAATGGAGAGAGGGAACCAATCATCTTGTAGGTGTTCGCGATGAACTCTACATTAGTGTGACTTCAGTGGAGATGGAAAGTGCAGGAAGGAAGCCCGTTGCACAGAAAATACAGGATGCTTAGTGACTGGTAGGCTGCAAAGAAGGGCACCCAAAGGTTTCAGGAAATGGGAATGGCTCTTCATCAGTTAGTTGATTGTCCAATGGGAGAATCCAGTTTAGGGGTTTAAAAGCTTGTTTTAGACTCATGGAGTTGGAAGAGAGGGTACGATTAATTGGGGAGTTCAAAGTTTGGAGCTTCATGAGACTCAGGGCGGGAGTCTTCTGTCTTAGTCACTCTGTTAGAAAGGCAGTTGTACCTGGAGGCTGAACAGCCCTCGTCTTTAAAGCGAGGAGGCTGGGTGGGAGCACAAGTGAGGATGCTTGGCTCAGGCAGTGGCCATGATTGGAGGGCAGGGAAAGGGATAAGAATTTAAGCTACATGAATCTCAGTGATTTTGGAGTACATTAATGACAGAGAAGGGAGAAGCAGAATCGATCAAGAGGGGAATAGTCAAAAGAAAAACATTTTCATGTTTGAGGGTGTTGGAGAAGTGGTCTAAGTTACCAGCATGGGAGAAGAGCACAGGAAATCCCTCTGAAAGACAAATTCTTTTTGCCAGAAGGCAAAATCAAAGTGAAAAACAAAATTCTGAGCTTTTTAAACTTGCCTTTGCCCTCAGCTATTTGAAACTTCTGATGTACATTTCTTAGCACATGGAAGACTTTTCACAATTACTTACTACTAACTGTTGGGAGGATTAAAATTTTCAATGTATAATAAAATGAAAAGAAAGCATCTAAAATATTTTGAGGTAATGCCTTAAAACTAGGCCTGCTAGGGGTTTTGTTTCACATTTTTATTGTTCAAAGAATGCACTAACAGTATAAAATATGAAAGTCTTGTATTTTTATATATTTATAACATACATGCATTAATCAGGCTGAGCTATGTATCTCTTGATCACAGTAGAATAATTCAAGTGTCCAGTGTATTAAAGGCTTAGATTTTGCTTTGGTTTTAGTTTGTATGAGAATGTGCCACGGAATGTTTTTTCCTTTCTTCTTTTGAATGATCAGTTAATAGCTGGTTAATTTTTGTGCTCTATACAAAGGTAAGTTTTTTATATTTCTAGTGTGACTGTCAATACCTTCATTTTGATGCATTAGAAGTTCTGGAATTTGAATTTTCTAGTTTATGTTAAAAATACCATTATTCTTTCTTTTTCCAGGAGTGTGTTAATATTTTTTTCTAGGAATACGTATTTCAAGTAGAGATTTATATACTAAGACTAGCAATTAAAATTTTCCTCCTGTATTATTTTTTCTTACTCTTTAACCTTTTTAACCTTTAGTTTTTGGAAAGCTTTCTTGCTTTGTTAATATACTTTATTATATATGTTTCATGCGTAACTCTCTTTATATAAATCTTATTTCTGAGGATGGGGTGAGGGGCCATAGGGAGGACTTTCTTGGGCTTTTCATCCCAGTTCCCATCCTGGGTCCTGCGCTGACTGCAGAGCCTCACTCCCACCAGGAGCAAAGGAACAGCGAGGACTCTGAATGGACCCCCTAGGTCCCTGGAAGCACAGCTGAGAGACCAGGACCCAGGATGGGGGTTTTGTGCAGGGAGAGCTCTCAGGACAGGAAGTGGGGGGAAGGAGCAGGGTGAGGTCAGCAGGAGTGTCTTCTCCAGACCCCTCAGGGAGTTCTGGGAGATGGACAGCACTCCAGGGTCTATCATAAAGGGTGAACCACCCCATTGTGGTCAAGGGAGCACCTGCACGGCACCAGCAACTGGAGATGCTCCCTTACTCTCTCTGGGAGGAATGTGGGAGGCCTGGCGATTCTACTCACTGTGCCTTTGTCACTGGCCACTGAGAACTGTTCTAATTGGTCACCCAGGGCTGCTGTCACTCTAGTGAGATGAGCCGTCCAGTGAAGGAGCTGCCCAAGGTGCCAACCCACAGAATTGGGAGCTAAATCCAGTGGTTGCAGTTTGAAGCCACAAAGGTTTGAGTGATCTGTTATGTGGCAAAAAGCCAATTGATACAGTAGATACTGCCAAATCGTTTTCTAGAATGCTTGTGCCACTTTGATCCTCATCAGCAGTGTGTGTCAGTTCCTATTCAGTACTTGGTGTCATCAGTTAATTATTATTATTTTTAAAAATATATATTTTTATTCATTTCAGAAAGGAAGGGAGAGGGAGAGAGAGATAGAAACATCAATGATGAGAGAGAATCATTGATCGGTTGCCTCCTGCATGCCCCACACTATGGATTGAGCCAGCAACCTAGGGAATGTGCCCTGGCTGGTAATCAAACCATGACCTCCTGGTTCATAGATTGATGGTCAACCACTGAGCCATGCCAGTTGGGTGCCAGTTAATTATTTTTAATTAAAAATATGTAGCTACTAGAGGCCCAGTGCATGAAACCCATGCACAGGTACAGTCCCTTGGCCTGGCTGGTGATCAGGGCCGATCGGGGCCTTCCAGCTGCCAGCCGGGGCCTCCCTTTCCCAGCTGCCGGCTCCCGGCCAGGGCCTTCCTTTGTTCCACGCCACCCCCTGTTGGTCAGTGCATGTCATAGTGAGTGATAAAACTCCCAGTCGAACTCCCGCAGGGAGACTTTGCATATTAGTCTTTTATATATATAGATTATAGGCCTGGTGCATGAAAATTCATGCACTGGGTGGGGAGTCCCTCAGCCCGGCCTGCTCACAGTCCAGAAGCCCTCAGGGGCAGGAGGCGACCCGCCCATCAGGGGAAGGCGATGCCCCCGTCACACCTCTGCTGCTGCCACTGCCGGCAGCGCAAGCCTCGGCCGGCCCTGGTTACTTGAGCCTCAGGCGGCCCAGGGTGGCTGGGCAGCCAACATCCGAGGCTTGCCTGTGCCTCAGACGTCAGTTGGGCAGCCGACATCTGAGGCTTGCCTGTGCCTTGGGCCGGCCCTGGGCGGCTGGGGGGCTGAGGGTGGATCCGGCTGCAACATGTGCCTGCTGCCCCCTTGGCTGCCACCCCCAGCAGGGCTGAAAGGACTGGGGGACTCTGGCGGGGCTGAGGGACTGGGTGCCACCATCTTGTGGCTATGGGCGCCACCATCTTTGTGATGGTGTGGTGGTCGATTTGCATATTCCTTCTTTATTAGATAGGATTCTCAAGAGTGGTTACTGACATTGCATTGTGTGTTTTTTAACATGCATTTTCTGATGACTTACAAAGTTAGATGCTTTTTAATATGTTTATTGACAGTTTGGATAGTCTCTCAGACGAAGTGTCTATTTTAGGCTTTGCCAATTTTCCTGTTGAGTTGTCAGCCTTTTTCTTATCAATATGTATGAACTTTGTATCTATCCTGGATTAGAGTCCTTTTGGAATACAGTGTTATAAATATTTTCTTTCACTTTGTTGCTTTTCTTCATTCTCTTTCTGGTGTCTTTGATGAATAGAAACTTAAAATTTTAATGCAGTTCATTTTCTCATCTTATCATTTTATATTTAGTGCTCTTTGGGTTCTGTAAGATCTTTGACTATCTTAAGGTCCTGAAGATATTCTCCTATGTTTTCTTCTAGTAGCACTGTTATTTTATTTTTTCTATTTAGATCTACATACCATCTGGAGATAGTATTGTATATTCTAAGATATAGAGTTAAGATTTGTTTTTGTCACTTGAATGGTTCCATTTATTGAGAAGACTATTCTTTTCCAGCTGCACTGCAGTATTATTTGTCTCATAAAACAGGTGACAGGACATGTCTGTTTCTATTCTGTTTTTTGGCTTATTTAGCTTTTCCTTGTGTCAATGGACTGTGTCTTGATATTTGTATTTTATTTGTGCTCATTAAATGTTTGTTGAAATGTGAGTAAACCAATGAATGAGCCTCAATTTGTAGTATTATTTCTGTGAAAAATGTTTTCCAAGTTCCAAAATATTGACTTAAAAAACATTATTTTGGAGCGTAATTGATTTAACATTGAGGAATGAGCTTATTTTATGCAAGAGTTTTGGCAGCTTTTCTGACTGATGCTATGACTTAAAAACATTTGTTTTAGGGGGTGTTGTATCTATTCTGTTAATGTCCTTTCCTCTAAGACAGCCAAAATACCATATAAAATGTCTTTCTATTTTTCTGGAACCATACACATCTCTATTTGATTAACATTAGCTTGTAAAGGGGTATTTGGTGAATTTGACCAAATCGCGAATAATTTGAAGGATCAAATTGACAGAACCCTTTGTAACCAAACAAATGAATCTGCTAAAGAACTAAACAAAATAAAACGTCAAAGCCAGCTTTGATTAGAGAGCATTCAGATGTCTGTTCTTATGTTTAGTTTAACTTATTCTATATTTTATTATTGTGATTCTATTTGCTTCTTAACCAAGAAATGTTCGGTCATGTGGTTTACTCATGCTATTGGAACTTAATTATTTTTAGCTTTGCTTTCTGTATAATATTTTGTTAGACTTTAATATTTCACGTAAGTCCTTTTTATCTCCCATTTTGGACACTCTTTATTGTGGTGTTCTTTCTTGAGGTATTATGAGAGAACAAGAAGTTTTCTAAAAGAGCATGAAGAAGTAAATGTTAAGACTGTTTACAGATTGCTTCAAGTCCCTGTTGCTGTGGATTACAAAGTGGGAACATTTAACTTCAAAGCACATCTGGCTGCTGTTATAAAAGTAGAGTGCTCTTTTTCCCAAATAGACTCAAGAACATGCTTTGCTATGAATAATTCTCATTACATATTAAAAGTGGTCATGAGACAAACTCAGTGTATTGTGAATGAATAACAACAACAGATTTGTCCTTGTTCACAGTATTTGTTGTTGCTTTTAAATACTAGAATAAATTTTCTCTTTTTATTTTTTTCTATTTTCTTGGTCCATTGGAAAAATGAAATTTATGATAACAGAGTGAGTCCTTAACTTCCGTGTTTAATGGCTTTTAAAGATGAAGAACATGAATTAGGAGTTACTGCGTAGTTGAAAGGCCACATTGTAGTCAGCTAAACCAGTATTTTGTATCCTGCTTGTAAATGTAGAGTGGAGTAAAAATAAGTCACAAATGGTTTTCTTGGCTTTTGGTTTTAAATTTTAAGCTTAATTAGAGCTTGAACATCTTTGAGAATTCCCTGCTTTCTTCTTCCTTTATTTTTCCCCTTAAATTTAATTCTCCTTCATGAATTAGAGGTTATGTATTTTCAGATTTACGCGTGTCTTTGAAGAACTTACTTTCTATGCGGGTTTTCTCTATTCTGAAAATAGAGAATAGTTAGTTATTTTTCATATGTACACCTTCAAACAATAAATACTTATCGAGTGCACTTTGCTGCCTGCTGAACCTTTGCTGCCTCTATTTTTAAAACAGCCAACTATATATAGTACAGTGTTATTTGCTAAAGAATATGCCTCTTTCTCTGGTATGATATTTCAGTGGATTTTATTGTCTTTACTTAATGAATGTTCCCCAAAGTAAATATACTCATTCATACACCCACTGGAAGTGCTCCACATCTGGAACACTGTAATTGTCAAATTTTTAATGTATGCCAATCTGGTGGTGGTAAAATACCATCACATTGTGGTATTACTTTACATTTTTTAAAATAAACAGATTGAGCATATTTTCATGTTTGTTAGTCATTCAAATTTCTTCATCAGTGAAACGTGTCTCAAGTTTTTCCCATTTTTTTCCTAATGGGTTGTTCTTTTTAAAATTTTAAATACCTTCTTTATACATTTTAGAGACAAAGCATTCATGCAAACATCTTCTCCTAATTTATGGCTTCTCTTTTCATTTTATTTATGAGATATTTTTTGGAGATAAGTTCTTATTTAAAATGGTCAAATTTATTAAATTTTTTTGCTTATGCTTTTTTTGGTTTCTTTTAAAAGAAATCTTCTCTATTACAAAGCCCCATAAAGTCATCTTCTAGATCGTCTTCTGAAAGTTCTGCTTTTAATTATAAGTATTTAATCCATTGGAAATTTATTATATATGGTGTGAGGAAGGGATCTGATCTTATTTTCTTCCACTTGTTGAACACATCCTAATTTTCTCAATAATTTGCAATGCTATATCTTTCATGAATAATATGCTCATATGTATTTGAGTTTCTGGTACTTCCTAGTTCCATTGACTTATCTTCATTGTTGTAGTTTTCTTATGTCACACCACCTTGATCTTTTTCTTCAGGTTTGTCTTCCTTCTTGTCCCTTTATTTATTTATGCACATTTTATAATAAGCTTCTTAAGTTTTCAAAAAACCCTACTTAGATATTGGTTTGGGTAAACTTGGTCACTTCATCAAGTTAATGAGAATTGGCATTTTTACAATATTGAGACTATTTAAAAACATAGGCCGCAAGAGGATCATGAAAGTACAATTGTGTCTACAGAGGTTTTGTTTTATATTTCATTTGTTAGTGGGCCACTAAAAATGGATTATGCAATAGCCATTCTAAAAAACAAGCTAAATAATTAAGACATATAGAAAACAATTTCATAAAGCAGCTTAATTCTATATTTTATCACATAATAATTAAAGCTCAAAAATTGATAAGTCCTTATTTTTAAAATTTCAGATAGAAAATCCTCGGTACCTGAGACAGAAGCCTATCCCGGTTTCTCTGGTAGGTGAGAATTCCCTTGGACTTTTCCTATGGACAGATATTTTTAAATAAAATAATCAAGTCATTTACAGAAAATAGTCTAGGTCCACATTATAAAGCATAATTGTCTTATGAATCCTATCACTTGGAAGTGGATAAATGATTTTTTTTCTCCAGTATTGGCATCATTTTGGCATGAACTTTAGGCAATTTAGAAGTTTAGTTGGGTGTTTAGGATAAACCATGCCTGAAAAAGTATTGAATAACTCGTACTCATTCAACAGATGACTCCAAAATTCAGCCTGAGAAAATCCAGCAGTTTCCATGAGGATCATTTACTCTCTCGAATGCATGAGAAAGAGGTAGGACTGACATATTTTATATGCCTAATTATTGACACTATTTTTATATTTTGTATAATATGAGGTTTCAGGTTTAGTTAGAATAATGATGCATGGTAGGAAAAGGTTGTCTTTGGTACACAGATGAAGTAATGATGTAGGGTAGGCCGGGTTTGTCTTTCTATTTTTAAAAAAAAAATTTTTTTTTTATTGATTTCAGAGAGGAAGGGAGAGGGAGAGAGAGATAAAAACATCAATGATGAGAGAGAATCATTGATCAACTGGCTGCCTTCTGCATGCCCTCCACTGGGGACTGAGCCTGCAACCTGGGCATGTGCCATGACTGGGAATCTAACTGTGACGATTCCCAGTTATAGGTTCATAGTTGGACACTCAACCACTGAGCCACTCCAGCTAGGCATGGATACTTTTAAGAATTTCTCAAATGTAATTTCAATTTGGTTATTTTCAATTTATAAAGTTTTCTTACCACTCTATTTATAAACTATCACAAAAAGCATTGACTTTTTTCTTAGATATTTAAAACAATATCATGAACATAAAAGCTTATTTTTTTTGTTGTTGGTGGAGGAAGAGGGCTCTTTTAAAAAAAAGTCTACTTGGTATAATTATTACTGCTGATCTCATTAATATTCTTTTCTTATTGAATTTATATGGGGTGACATTGGCTAATCAAATTATATAGGTTTCAACTCAGTAATATTCTGTCTGTTGTTTTGTAGCTCCAATTTAAGGCATGCAGCATGCTTTTTTCTGTAATGCAATCCTAGTGTTCAAAAAAATATGCTGAAATAAAAAGAAATTATATTTTAAAAATCTTTTTTGAGGGTAATACTTCTTATATTCAGATGCACCTCCTTTTGAGCTCTTGATATGAATTTCTTCCTTTTCAATAACTGTCAATTATTTTTGCAAGTCATTCCAAGTCATTTCCAACCATTTTTCCTTTTATTTTGTATTATTTTTTACTGTTGAGGCTGTTTATCATAGAATAAATAAAATAATTGAAAGGAAGTGGTGGCCTTTTGAAATATTTTTGGTCTTTCATGTAATAATATCTCTATGATGACATTTTGGGTCAGGGGTAAGCATACCAATGCTACCCACATATGTGTTGAAAGAAAAAATATTTACAGTTACCATGTGTTGCATCAGAGATTCTTTTTTAAATGTGTGTGGTTTTATTTTTTCCACACCCTTATGTTTTTGTTTTTCTTTTTGGCATACTATAAAAATATTTTAACATCATTGAGAAGTTTGCATGTAAACATCAACTTACTCTATATCTTAAAATACAGTCTGTGTACATTTTGGCTAAAATAACCCTTGTGCAATTACATAGTCATTTCTGACTTATTTGAAAAAATGTTTTCTTCATCCTAAAATATTTGAAAGTATATGTTGAGTGTCTTCAATGTGTGAACTATCTTAGTTTCTACTTTCTTTTAGAGTAGTATTTATGAGTTTAAAATAGCTTATGTGGATTTTTATTGAAGAAATTTTGGAAATTATAGACATATGTAAAGAAGGGAATAAAATCAAGTATAAAATTAACACCTGGAAATAAAAACAGTGGTAAAATGTTATTGTATTATCTTTTAGATTTTCATTGTGTCCTTAAAATATTTTTTCTTAGAAATTTGAGATATATATATATGTGTGTGTGTGTGTGTGTGTGTGTGTGTATGTATATACATATATATATGCATATATATAGTTTTATATATTTCAAGTATTTCTCATGCTATTAAATATTGTTCCCAAGCATCTATTTTTTAACGTCTATATTATATTTCATACTAGAGGCCTGGTGCATGAATTTTGTGCACTGGTGGGGTCCCTCGGCCTGGCCTGCGCCCTCTTGCAATCCAGGACCCTTCAGGGAATGTCGGATAGCTGGTTTTGGCCCGATCCCCTCAGGGAATGTTGGATAGCCGGTTTTGGCCCGATCCCTGCAGGTCAGATCCAGACAGGAGGGAGCCTGATCCCCTCAGGCCCGTTCCAGACAGGAGGGAGCCTGATCCCTGCAGGCTCGTTCCAAACAGGAGGGAGCCCGATCCTGTGCGTTGAGCATCCCCTGGTGATCAGTGTGTGTCATAGCGACCAGTCGACTGGTCATTTGGTTGCTTAGGCTTTTATATATATAGATTATGGATATACGCCTACTTATGTGAACTTATTCCTATTGTTAGGTATTGAGATTGTTTATAATTTTCAATAACATAAATACCTCTGGGAAGAATATCTTTATATCTCTGTCTTTATATGCATCTCCAAATATTTCTTTGGAGTAATGAATAATACCTTACAGAATTTATCTGGATCATGAAGCAGTTAGTAAAGGATTTAATTCTGTTGAAATTTTAGAGTCCTAAAATAGTTAACCTTTAGAAATCAAACTTTATAAAATACAACTTCCACTTAAAGTTTATAATTGTGTGGAAAATACGTAGATGTTAAATGGGTAATATTTGCAGTATTATTTTATTAGGGTTAAAGAATTATAGTAGTTTTGTTTGGTGGCTAAAAATACACCTACAAAATATTTTAAGATGCTCTTTACATTTTCAGTTTATTTGCGGCATTGTGAGAAAACATATGCTCAGTGATAGCCATCCTTTATTTTAACTCTAGTCTACACTCACAAACATACTTTGACTTGTTTGCCTTTGTAATTGGTGACACATTTCCTGTGATAGCCACATCACAGGATTGTGTGACACTGAGCGTCATCAAGCAGTGGGTTGGGTTTTTTTTAGTATCCTTAAAAAGATTTCTGACATAGATTAAGATGTTTGGAAAACTGTTGTCACTGAAAGTGCAAGAAGAGACAACACAATGAGGGAGATAAATTTTCAGAGCAACCATCAGTTTTTAGAGAGCAGATGGTAGAAATTGCTCTTTTGTGAAATAAAATAGAACATTTCCTTTGAACCTCACCACCCTTATTGAATGTTCCTACCAATTGCCTTAGAAGGGATGTTGCTTCTTTCTTGCGTGTAATGCCAAGTAGGCATTTTTCCCCTTTATTTTAATGCAGAATTTAAATAAATCCAAGATAATTAAATCCATAGTCATTGACATAATAAATGAAAGAACTGATATTTTAAAACAGTTGTGAATGTAGCATTCAGATATACAAAATCTCACAACATATAATAAATAATTATACCAAGGAATACCATTGTAAACAGGCAAGGATTAGATCATGGCCAATATCCCAAAAGTTTGCTGTCTGGCCCTCCCCATCATAACTCTCTTCAATCTTCCCTAGAAGTGACTACAATTCTGATTTTTCTGATGATAATTTCCCTCCTTTGTTTTTAAAGTTGATTTTACCACCAATTCCTGCATCCTTAAAAATGAAAATATTTTTATTGTAGTAGATTTTGAACTTCATATAACTAGAACTAAATTTTATGTATTCTTTTGTGTCCTGCTTCCCTTTATAAGTGCATATTTATATAATTTATTTAAGGAAGAACTAATTTCAATATTACAGATACTTTTTGAGATCATAGAGAAGGGAATGCTTCTTGACTCATTTTATGGGGGAGACCCTGACAGCAAAACCAAAAGGACATTATAAGAAATAAGTCCCAGTAAAAAAAATTTAATAACCAAGTTTATTAATACATTGAGAAAAGACATTTAATAAATGATGCTGGTATAACTTTTCATTTACCTGGAGAAAGTAAAACTGGATCTTCATCCTCTAAAAACAAAAACAAACATGAATTTTGGATGTACTAAAAACTTACCTACAAATTCCCAATCAAAAAGTTTCAAAACAACACAAAAATCTTGCCAAAAAAAAAATCTAGGAATTGGAAGACCTTTCTAACCCTTAACCTTTCCAAATCCAGAAACTATAAAGAAAATTATAGAAATATTTAATCAACTGAAATAAAAGGTTTTGTATGGTAAAGTATGTTATAAACAAGATCAATAGAAAAGTCATAGATTTTGGGGAAATATTAGGGACAGACTCTATGAATGTGTACAGCATACCAGGAGGTCTTACTGATTGATAGACAAAACATGGATCAAATTGTGAAAGGCCATTTCACAGAAAAACATATTCATGTGGCCCCAAAACATCTGAAAGGAGCTAAGACAGGGTAGTGTTCAGGGAAATGCAAATTAGAGTAGTAATGGATATCTACTCTTCTGGTAGAAATGTGACTCTACCTTTAATAGAGGGCAAAATCTATGAAGGTATATCTACCATTGACTCATCTGCATGTCTCCTGAGAATCCATCCTATAGAAATCAAAGCCTAGTTGTAGGATGCATGTAGACAATATTTTTGTGTGGCTTTATTTGTAGTGAAAAAGCACTGGAAATAAAGTGAATATTCATTAAGGGGAATGGTTGAATAAATTTTATTTTCTCCTCATTAAGAAATAATTGACAGCAATGAAAAAGAATGAATAAAACCATAGCAGGTATTTTTTGAGAGAGTTCCATGAGGTAGTGCGTGTTCAGAGAGAGAGCAAGATGCAGAAAATATTTTTTGCATGCAAAACATTCATAATATAAACACTGTGTATTGCTAAGGGTGTAGTGATTTGAAGAAGAGCATTTATTTAGCTCTCACATAACAATCCAGAGTGTGTAGGGAGTGCTGTGCTCAGTGATGTCACTGTGGACCCGGACTAGTGGGGAAGTTCCACCATCCTCAGCATACAGCGTCAGTCTCTGGTCTGAGGTGTAGGTTGCTCTCCAATACCTTGTCTTTAAGTGCCACCCTTCAGGAAGGAAGAGCACAGAGAGAAAGCCACTTTGTTTTTTAAAATGTCCAGAATCATTTCTACCCTATTATTCTCCTTGACCATACCTAGTCACACGGTCATGATACAACCATTTGCCCTGCTCATATTTGGTGGTGGCATTCCTGCTCACGTTTGTGTATGATTCTGGGAGCATGGCAGAGACATGAAAATATGCTAGGTTGGCCCTGGCCAGTTTGGCTAAGTAGATAGAGCGTCAGTCTGCGG